CAAGATTTCTGGACAAGAGTTTTCTGAAATCTTGGATCTTGGATCCGTGGATGAGCTGTTCAGACTTGAGAATCTCAAGTCTGAAATCCCAAGTCTGAATTTGTCTAAGTAAAGAACATGAAATTCGATGCCCGGACACTGTTTTGGTTGCGTTGAGCCAAGCAAATGTTTGGTAGCATTGAGGCAAGCAGATGTTTGGTTGCATTGAGGCAAGCAGATGTACATTGTGAAAAGTGTTGGAAACACCATGAAGTGTGGATCTCAGGGGGGGTACCATATATATATATATATACACCTGGACCTTTACAACGTTTGTGAGAACCGCCAACTTGGTTGAAGAGCTTTGCGAGCAGGTTTGTAAACACCTTGGATTCCTATTGTGTTCCAACTGCCTCGGCCATCATGGAAAACTTGCACCGTCTGGTTGAGAGCAGTTGGATGGAATGGTCTTGGATCTCGAGGGCAAGGCACTTGCTGATGTCGATCGCTTTGGCACTGCCGCGCACACGCAAGCACCCCATCAAAAACTCCTCCATATCGACCGCACCGCTCTCATCCTGGCGCAGCGTGTAGGGTGAATAGCACAAAACCCTTTGGAGTGTGTGTTTGCCCCCAACATGGGATATCAGTGGTGACCATCAAAAACACAACTGCTTCCAACACCCGGGTGGAACAACTTTAAAGCACTATCACTCTGAAGAAGGAAACTGCCTAGCAGGGGCAAGCATTCTACCCCTGCACAATGTTCTGCAGGTGTCTACAACTGGGTTAGCATCAAATTGTGCGCTGGGGGCTATCAGGATCCCCGCTTTACATTCGAATTATTCCAGCCCACACACACAAAAAGTTGAATTCTTCCCCATTACTATTCCTTCACAGTTGAAGTTGCGATGATTTGCCGGAATGGTTATTTATCGTGGTTAATCGTCGATGCCATACCAAACCAAAACCAAAACTATTGATAGGAAAGCGTTGACCAACGCCCTCCAATCCAATCTTCGCCGCGACACCAAATCCAACATCTTGAAGAAGGACCAAGCATCCCAAACATCCTGGCACAAACTGGCCCTAAGAATGCTTGGGTACAAACCGACTCAATTTAACATTGGACAAAAACACATAACGCGCATTTGCCACGGTCATCATTATTGATCAGCTGGGACCCAACATGTTGAATGCACTCACTAGATTACGACTTTACACTTGGAACGCTGCTGAACAAAAAATACACGATCTGACAAGGACCATGGTGGCGCATTCATGTCACCGCCACCAAAAAAATGTTTGACAGCCGTTGGTGGCAAATCGACACAAATGAAATGTATAATGTAGCAGGTGCACATATCATATATTGTTACCTGTAGAGAAACCAGGTAAAGTCGCAAACGTTTATTGGCAAACAAAACATGAAACCGCCCACCCACGACATGAATGCCGTCGAGGCGCCAGACCCAAGGACGAGAAATATTCCCTGACTTCCGGGGCATTGATCTTCTCTTCGAACATCAAATAAGTGATTTCCCCGCTCTTCTCTGCACCGAGGCGGTTGAACAAATCCTTCACCTTCTGAAGGTGGGCCTCTTTGTTCCTCAAAGATTGGATGCACACAATGTTTTGGAACAGAAAATATCTCTAACCCAGCTGCACAGTCGGAACATCATGAAATTACACAGCATAAATAAACACAAGAGCAAAAAGGTAAGTCCAAGATTCGCCAAAATCGCGTGCATCATGGTGGTGTGATCATTTTGAGCACTGTCAATGGCAGTTTGGCAGAAAACCGCAGTGACCTGAATTTCAGCTTGACGTCCGACATATTCTGCAATGAGCCAATAAAAGCGTCTGGCATGGCCAGCTATGTTGCTGAAAAACCAACATTTGAGCTAATGCTGCCCCAGCCGCAACATTGAGAACTGCCTCGGCTGTTGAAGAGCACCATCCACACCGTCCGAAAACAAGGTCACACGTTGGTAACTAGCCTTGGTAAATTCTACACATTGATCATCTTTCGTGTAGTTGTCCGTCCCCAGTGGGGAACCGATCTTGAAGGAAAAAGAACCAGTAGGGTACCTGTTTTGGGGGAGCGGCGGATCTCGTAATACCTTACAGAAAGCGGTCCTTGGCAGAAAAACATGTAGTATAGTAAGAAGAGACATGTTTCTCTCGGAGCCTATGAATGATTCAAGTCTACCAAAGAACGAAAAAATAGCAAAATGCTGCTCGTCCTGATCAGTCACCGCGTTCCAACAGGTCACCACAACCGGGTCGCCTCCACAACAACAAACCTGACAAAAACTTCAATCAAAGAGTCCACATAAAAAAAACCATCAACCAGAAACCAATTCTTCAATTTTTCGGGCAGTTCATCCACGTCCTCAAAAGAAGTCAACCGAAGACAAACAATGTAAACCAACGACACCACCGAAGTAAAAGCTGTAGCCAAGCATGCTGGCTGGCGGACTCCAAAGAGTCCATTCAGCACTTTCTCTCCCTTGACTCGAATCACTTCAGACTCCTTTATCCACTCACAAATTCCAAATTTCACCAAAGTTTCGCAGATCTGGAGTTTTTCACCCTTGCCAAAATGTGTGCTTCCGGGAACTTTCGGTTTGGGATGGTCAAAATCATCTTTCAACAAAGAGTGCGGGGACTCGAGAATTTCCCTAGTTGCCGGTCCAACAAAGTCCACTAAAGGGATCGAACCACCATGACCCAAGGGGGGAAGCGCAGGCAGGATCTGCCTGAGCGTCAACGTTTCACAAACCCCACACTCTTCCCCATTGTAATCGATCTTAGCTGCCGCAAGTTCACTCGCAACTTTTTCAAAGTCCTGGAGTGGCTGACAGTGACAAGTCAGGAGACGCTTCACAGCCTTTTTGGCAGAAGCTGCTCCACGCTCCTCTGTCTTCGTCCACTCACCAGCTGCCAGCGGAATCTTGCTTCCAGCCAGGCTACTGGTAGCTTGCAAACTCAAGTACAACCAGGCATCTTCTGCCCATTTTTCGGAGAAAACGGTCGAGCTCGCATGCGTCAGCCCGACTCTCTTCAAAGCCTCAACAACCTCCTCTGTCTCACCTCTGCGCATCGGAAACGAGGCAGCCTTGGATGGCCCCCCACTACCAGTTGCGGCCTGTACGGATTCATACAGCACTCTGAAAATCCACAACCATGGACCTTCTCTCCTCCTCTCAACTGCTTGCACCAACAACCAGGCCAACACCGTTCCAGCATTCTTCAAATTTGTAATACTGCGTCCGGCTGCCAAGCAAATGGCCTGTCCATTCTCGAATTTTTCTGCGCTCACACCCTCAACGGAGACGCTAGCTCCAGAGGGAACCTCTTCTGTATGGTCCACTCTCAAGCCACTCTCCTCTGCGTCAACACTCCTCTCAACTTCAAACTTCGGCGCCAAACCTTCTCTCTCCTCTGAAGGAATTACTGTCAGCCTCCTCTCAACCTCTTTCTCTTCTACTCTTTGTCTTTGTCGCCCTTGTCGTGGGTTTCTTTCCATTTGTTCTTTCCCTTTCCTTCCTTGTCTTGCCATCCTCCTTTTTCTTTGCTCTTTCCTCCTTTCTTCTGCTTTCCCTTGCCTTTTTCTGCATGCCAGCCTCCTTTGCCTCCTCCTTGCCAAGATCGTTGCCAGCCTTTGCCGGGAAGCCACGCCTCGAAGGTCTCGGCCTTGAGTGAGGTCTTGGCATGCTTTCTTGCCTCCAACAGTATCGCCGCTGAGGTTGCATTCTGTTCCTCCGGCTCGATCACCTCGAGGTAGCGAGCCTGGACCCACGATTGGTCCATCAATGCTTGATGTGCTGCAAGGAAGTGCCCCGCCAGCATGTCGCATGCCCGGCCTATGGCACCCGCTCGGATCGTGTCCAGCGCCCTGGCCATCAGTGCAATGTCTCTCATAGGGCCTTTGAACTGTCCATAGTGAGGCTTGATGTGGAGCTGATAGTAAGTTGTCAGCTTCACTCCATCTGTAATGGCCGTCGATGAGCTCCCTGTCGTCTCTACTAAAGCCCCCTGGTCCAAGGCATCTTGTGCTCGCTGAACTAGGAGCTTGAGGACGGATCCCGGCGCTGCTTTGGATCTCTTGCGGAGCGGCGCTTCGAAATCCCCTTCGCTCAAGGACCTCACGCTCCGGGACGTTTCCTCTGAGCTGTAGCTGCTCCCGCTGGAGCTGATGATGACCCCGTTGACAAGCCTCCTTCGCCTTCTCTTCTTTTTGTCCTTCTTGTTCCTCTTCTTCTTCTTTTTCTTTTTCGAATGACCTGAATCTCCTGACCTCCTTGGGGGATCTCGATCTTCTCCGTCTCCCTTTGAAGTCTTCTTGGCAGCTTGGTTCAGCAGTGCCAGCAACTCTGCTCGCTCTCCTCCTCTTGACTCGCTCCTGCTCCTCTCGTCCTCGCTCTTCCTGGCCTTGCCTGCTGCTAGCTGTTGCGCCTGTCTCACTAATTGCTCCGAGACATTTCTCGTAGTAGAACCTCTTGAATCCTCCACTGCCTTCTTCCTCTTCAGACTGCTCCCACTCGTCAGACCCTTCACATCCTCCGCAGAGCCTGAACGAAGAGCGTCTTCCTGCCAATGATCCTCTCCATCTTCCTCTTCTGGAAGCTTGCGAAGCTCCGATATCGAAGGACGTGGGGCTCCTCCAAGCTTCAACCTCACGCCCTCGAGTTTCCTCCGCAGTTCTGCTGTCGACATTTCCTCTCTTTCTTTCTCCGTCCCAAGCTCCAAATCTTCTTCGACAGCTACTCCTCCATCTGAAGTTGCACCAACCTTCAACCCTTCTTGAACAACAGGCGACCGAGGGTGACCACTTCGATCCCCAGCGCCAGCCTCCCCAGCAATGCCCTTTCCGCGAACCCGCGCTCTGCCTTGAGCAGCAGGTCCGGTCCGCAACGCACCACGCCTTTTTGGGGAAGCTCTCGTAACTCCTCTGCCTCTCTCCTCTTCTCTGCTGTGCTCTCCGCCTTCTCGACCTGATGTCGGGATCCAGCTGAAATCCGGAAGAATCGAACGATCCGAAAGGGGTTCTCCTCCATCCTCTCTTAAACCTTCTCCAACTGTGCTCACCTCCTCCGACTCCCCCAACCATTTTGCTACTTGGCGTTTGTATGAAGCCGTGTAGTAGCTGGGGTTGAAGCCCTCTCGACTGAAGACCTTCACCCTCGTGGCATGGATGAAGCTTTCTTCCGCTTCGGTGCAAGGCCTGCTCACGCACAAATGAACAAACCCCTCTCTCCTGTTGAACTGGCTTGACAACCTCTTCGACAGGGCCTGATCGGTTGTGCCGACAAAATGCGCTTTCAACGCAACTCCCCCGTCTCCAGTGACCAAATGCCCTAGGATCAAAAACCCGACGGTGGCTTCTGAAGGGGGTGACCAGTCGGTCCAACCAAGCGACAATTCGACAAAGTCTCCTCGACCTACGTTCAACAAAGTCCATCGCTCCTGATCGCCAATGTCGTACTCGTCACCCTCCTGCCAGTCACTAAAGATGTTCTTCAGCGCGGACATGGTGGCGGGACAGGAAGACCGGGGAAGTCCTCCTCCCTCAGGCGTTTCAACTCGTGTATTCCCTTCTTCTTATGGAATTTCACTCCTGGCTCCGACTTGCGACGATGAACTTGTTGGTGTTTGCGTCCTCCGCGACGTCCTCGAGTTCTGTCTCGCTCGCCTCTGGGCCTATCCCTCTTTTTCTTATGGAAACTGGAACCTTTGGCCTTTCTCTCTCCTCTCTCTTTTCTCTTTCTCTCAGGGCTCTCAACTCCTTCCTCCTTCTTCACCACTGGGGGCGGAGCAGGTGGAGGAACTGGAGGGACTCTTGGTGGCGGCTTGGATGTAGTTGCACGCTCTTCCTCAACCTCGTCTTCCTCTTCGGCCTCTGTGTAGGTGTAAGAGTAGGAACCTTTGGGCTCAGGCTCAACAACCTTCTCCTCCTCCTCCGGCTGCTTGGCAGGAATTGCCAGCGCCTTGGCAGTAGCTCCACGGGCTGCTGCTCCTTCTTTTCGACTTCCTTCAAGTCCTGGAGGCACGATGGGTTGCAGCCTTAGGGAAAGAGCCCGCAACACCTTCACTTGACGGGCGGAATCGACCAGAAGATCGTTAGCCGCCCTTCTCAAATCGCTTGAGCCCCAGCGCGAGCGGAGCTCTTCCAGCACGTGCTCCTGTGCTGAGCAGCCGAGGCACCAAGAGTCGGTTCCAAGACTCGGGGCTTGCCTGCACTTATTGCAAAGCCCCATTCACAAATGGCGCGAGAGCTGTGGGCCGAAAACCGCGGCCACGTATCAAACTTCACCCTATGCTTCTGAAGAAAACAATTGTTCTTCCTCAAGTTTTTGGAAGCCCGCATGAACAGCCACATGTTTTTTCATGCAAAAATAGAGAGAGAGAGATTGAACCACAAGAGCGAATTCCCTGCAAATACCGGACTATCGTGTTTCAGCGGCTCACTTTGCGGCACACTTTGCCGAAAGCAGTCCAAAGACATGTTGTTCCGCCACTGCCAAGTCGTTATAAACATGTAGAACTTCTGCACATTCCGTTGGCGCCGTCATCAAAGTGTTGGGAAAGCATATTCCACGCGGTCTCATTTTGCGGGGAGTATCTGTCCCCCTGGTGGCTCATCTTCTAACCCAAAATCGAAAGTACCTGAAGCGTCCACTTTGAAGACCGCAGCCGAGTAGAAAGATTTCGCAAAATCGAAAGGACTGCTCAGCTTCACACATCTCTGTCTCCGCGAAGGGCTCCATGGCTCTCACGGATTTCAAAACCTCTTAGACAGAACCAACAATGCATTAGTATATAACTGGTAGAGTTCTGCCGGGAAGGTTTGAGTTGCAACTTAAATTCTCAGATTGCTTCATCCTCAACACACAACCAACAACGAAACAACATGTCGGAAAAATGCGGTAAACATGAGAAGTGAAGTCGAGGTCAGAACCGATGCGGGTCCAACACAATGTTCAAGCAGTCATGTCCTAAAACCCGTTCGGGCACCAAAGTTCCCAGCGAAACAAACTAATTCAATTGCGACACATCTACAATAGCATCTACACAAAAAAGAAAAACAGTTTCAAGGGAGCCGGAAATGAAAAGCCATGTTCTTTTTGAGAAAATCTTAACAACAACACTGAACAAAGAGAAACCAAACTGTTTAGACACAACTCCATCATGGAGCTATGGTGCGATCAGCGAAAAAGACCACAGTGATCACAGTGAGGTCAACACCGGTCGGTACTAGTGGAAAACGTCATTGCGCCCACCCCACCACACCACCCCGCACGACTCCGTGAGCGAAACCTTAACGGTGCAAGGAGTTTTGCATGAGTACATGAGGAGGAGGTTCCGAAAATGTTACATTCCAGGGCCTCAGTGGTTCCATGCCGCAGTTCTCTTCCATGGTCAACTGTCTTCCGCTGGTGACCTTGAGCTTCCTTCTTGATTGTGCTAACAATTCTGTGGCCGCTACATGTTCTTCGGCTGGTGACCCTGAGCTTCATTGTCACTTGCACTACGGAACACATCGGAACACTGAAACAAAAGCCAAAGAAAGAAGCTGCACTCACCTGTTGGGGATTGCGCACAGCACGCATTCAATAGCTTATATAAAGCTGCGTTGCACTTGGAAAGAGTGCGAGAAGCGCAGCATCCATCAACAGAACCTCACTACGTTAGAACCTTGCACTTTTATACAGCAGAAAATGTGTGCTTCCATCTGTGAAGAGTGTCGTCTTCTAAAATGGCCGATGCTGCGTGTGTACAAGCAACTTGGAGCAATACGAAGCGATGTGGATTTGGTGGTAGCCCCCCCCACCCCGGCCACCCCAGCTTAATCGCATATTTGGTCTGACTCGGTCTGACTATTAAGATTCAACGACAATGTTCTGGACTGCATGACACTGTTGTGATAACGACGACAATGTGGTGAAACCATGAGGTTCTTTGCGAATAAAAATACATCCAAATGCTTTGAGGAGCAGCGGACACACGTGGGCATCACAGAAAGGACGTTCGCAGCACAAACGAAACAAACCAAATTACCCCAAAAACTCCTCAGTCTAGCCAAACTCCCTTGGGTCCGTCTACACCAACATCCAATAAGTCGAGGTGCAAAATATGTGAAGGCAATGTACCTCAGTCGCCAACGAGGTACAGCACTTGATGAATCTGAAGTCGTCCCATTGTATAAGACCCGACAATTGTAAAATTCAAGTACTGTATCACAAAAGGAAGTGAACCTCCCACTGCCAACAAACAACCCTGAAACTGAAACGGAAAGGAAACTGTTTCTTTCAGGAATTTCAGGACCACTTCTCACACAAAAGCTGAAAGAGTTGCCAAGTCAACTCCAAGGTCACACCAGGAAGATCAGAATCCAAATCGTGTTCATCTTGTGGAGCGGTACCAAGACCTCCTCCCAGCTCACTCCTCCAGCAATGCTCATGAACAGACCTTGGAGCCGGACACTGATGCGGAGTGGGACAGCCAGGTGGGTGGAGAAAGGGACAGGGAACCTTCGCAGGGACCTGAGGAGGCTCCAGGCTTGATTTACTTTGAGTTCGCCCAGTTCGCGAGATCGTTTCGAAACCCATCCCTCACATCATGAGGTGTACCAATCAGCCAGGACACTCCTTTCTGAGTGCTACTATGTTCAATCCCCAAAAGACTATGAGGACAACACTCCTTTCTCGTCCCATCTCACTTGCACTCGTTCCAAAGCGGCTCAGCATGGTCGTCCCCAGTGAACCGAAGTATTCGGCACTCACCAGCTCCAATGCCTCGGGGATCCCGAGCAAGTCAATTGGCTTAAGCTGATCTCACTTGGCTTAGGCCGCCTCTCACTATTTCAGCTTGCTATTTCTCTTCTGAAATGGATCAAGACCAAAATGACCCGAGATAACGGAAGACTTCCACAAAGGGCATCGCTACGAACGGAGCAAGGACGCTACTAGGGGCTCCTGGCCTTACTACTAGGAGCAAGAAGCTACTAGGAGCAAAGGGCATGTCTACTAGGAGCGGTCAGACGCTACTAGGCACTTGGGCGTCTGGCCTGCCACTGGTCCGGATCCATGACGTGCTTGTTGTCCTTCACAAAATCATTCACCGCCTGGCGACGAAGGTCAGCGTTCGTCGCGGAGGCGATCGCAGTCGCAAAGCAAGTGTGGAAGAATCTGAGTAGAGTATATATCCGGTTCAGGCAGCCAAACACACAGAAGATCATGGACATATATATATATAAGGAGATCAAAGCCCGTCAGCCCTTCAACTTTCAGAATGCAAAACCATGCAAAACTTCTCGTGGACAGCTATGGCTCTCACCCGGCCTGTGTGAAGAGGACCTGAACAGGAACGAGACGGCTAGCCACGGCAAGCCACTCCGATCGATCAACCAGGAAGTCTAGAGAATGACCCCGTTCTGCGGAAGGCCCTACCTCGCCGAAGAAGGGAACAGCCCATCCAACGCTTTGTGTGAGGTAAGGTGTCTCGCAAACGAAAAAGACCGGCAAGTCTTTCATGCGGGTACCGGTCAGCCTTTCATCACCAGCTCATCACCGACTCTACTGGCCTGCTGCCGCTTCAACTGTGATCAACTTGAATAACTACATTGAAGTTGAGAGAAAGTCGCCTGGCAGCAGGAGGCCTTATTTCTTGGACCCCTGTAATTTGCCGTCCTCCCTCCCATGTTTGTTTTTCTCCGGTCCTTCCTGTCCATAAGCCTGTCCTGTGTCCTTCTTTCTGTCCAGTCCGAGCGGCAGCGAAGACATACACAATCAGGGTCAGCAAGACCATGGCCCAGACCAGGCTCTTCAGCGTGTGAAAAATCGAGGTCACCAAGGTGCGAAGCGCCACCACAAAGCCTCGAGGCGTGGCGTGGGGCGACGTCGGCGGTTGGGACCGACCGTCGGGTGGTTTGGGGAGGTGAACACAGGACCGGGTGGTTTGGGACAGCAACGGTGTCATGGGTGTCATGGGTGTCATGGTGTCATGGGTGTCATGGATGTCATGGCACCAGGGTACTTCGGTGGACCGTGACGCCGAAGGTCAAGCCTTCAAGCTATATACATGGTGTTGTCAATGCTCCCGGTTTTTGAGCCATCCCTAACTGGAGCTGAAGATGTTGAAGAGAAGATGGGGACACCAGCGCTTCACTTACAGGAGATGGCTAGCTTGCATTGCCGTGGGGTTGAGGATGCCAGCTTGATCGAGGAAACATGGCGCACAGAGTCTGTTCGTCGAGCAGCGCAAGATCCGGACCAGCTGCACCGTCTTCAACACCCGGGTGATACGGATGATGCGGAAGGCCTCATCGGCCGCGGCCACGATGTGGGATGCAGGTCGACCTTCTCTTCACGCCAGGTGCCGGGGGGATCGCCATCATCCCAAAGCCTTGTCTTCGCAGGCTCTTCACTTCGGGCTTTCACGGAAACACCCACGGCATGGGCTTTCCAGCCACAAAAACCGAAACGAAGCGCAAGCGCGCGAGGCGCGCGATGGGTCGCGACCTACCCGGATCACACCTTGAGGCTGCTGATGCCCGCGATGGTCTCGATGTTGCTCTCCCCCATGGCCTTGGAAATGTCCACGATGACCTCCCAGAAGGAGCTTAACACGATGAAGACCTTGGAGGACCGAGGCATCGTGTTTCACACCAGTCCAAACACCAGTCCGACCCTCACGGTGTTCACGGAACCGTGAGTTGACCCGCAAGAGAGATCAAAAAGGAGCAAAAAGGCAGAGTCCACAGAGATCAACAGCACAGGGCTGGCTTTGATGTTTTCAATCCATGGTTGCGTGCTTTCAGCTCTAATTTGCACCGCCACAGGGGCCCAAACTCGTTTGAGTGATGTTCTCTCTGGCACCACGAACGGTCCCAGCTCCGGCCAGGCCACATCCAGTAAGGCCCAATTCCAATCCTCGTTGCAGAAGAAGTCCTTGCCAAAGGCCATGATGCGGAAATGGAGCTCCGCGGCGAAGAGGAAGGTAAAGCTATACTGACAGACCTTCAGGGAAGCTATACTGCTGGTCATCATGGGATATGGTCATCATGGGTTCTTATTGTGCATGTACTATAATTACACGTGTTTTACTCTCTCTTTGTCCGGCAGCCAAACCAAGAATCAATCTGTCAACATGATACTTCTCTCTTTGAAAAAAAAATAACACTCCAACATCAGTCAAAAACATCTCTCCGTGGCCTTTGGATAAAAAGAACACTTTTGTCGACTCGTTTGTCGACTCGTCGATGGAGACTCTGCAGCCTGCATGAAGGTGTTCCGCTGGGTGGTGGTGAGGCTTACCTCCACTTCATAGCCGATGAAGACGGAATTCAGGAGAACCACCTGGGAGAGAAAATCAGGGAAAATCATTCAAACCATTTCAAAGCTACTGATCATTGACTGATCATGATCAATTCTGTGAATCATGATGAGGGAAATGAATGGAAATGAATGGACATGAATGGAAATGAGGGAAGGATCTGGGACATGGATCAACCATGATGAATGAACCTCTGGAGGCTCCAGGATGCTCCTTGCAAGTCCGGATGGCTGGACACCGCGTGAGTCTTTGGATCTCATTCCGTCAGGGACTGGGCCGCACCTGAAGGACCGGAGGCTATCAACAAATATCAATTGCCACATGGACTTCAAACTTCAGACTTCTGAAATGATATCTTGCTCGATTACTGTGACTCCTTCGGTTCTGCGCAAAAAGGGGGACACTGAACAACCACCAAGTGCTCCATCCTTTGCATGAACCAGAGCATTCTCTTGCCAGCATCCACTGAGTCAGATGCATGATGGAGTGAACTTTGTGCAGTGCAAGTATGTGAGTATATATATAATATATATATAATATATATAATTATATAATATATATAATATATAATAATATATAATAATGAAAGTGACAAGGGTTCCGGGATATCAGCCCCAAACAACCACCACAACCTACGGAGTGGAAGGTGTTCGGAAAGGTATCCTATTGTGTGGAGAACCCTAGTCCAAGAAGGCACGCGACGGGGAACCCCGGATGGGTTGGTGCCCGTGGTGTACCAGGAGTGGGGTGTGGACGAAGGAGCACCTACGGCAACCTAAGAACACACAACACGAATTGCACGAAATGCACGAATGCGTGTCGGCGCGACGATCGAACGATCGGCGTGACGGACGCTGAAACGCGCGGCGAGCACACGTTTCTTGAGCCAAAATCAAGGTCGGTGTGAAACGTGAAAAGGTTCAAACCGACCTAGTTGAACATGTTTGTACATACAAGACCGCATGACAAGTTAGGGGTTAATCTTGGTTGTTAAATTTCGACTCCCCCCTCGCCGATTTGGCGTGCCATGGGTTGTATGTACAGGAATTAATTACCGCGCATTAAGCAGCGGCTTTGGTAGCTACATCGGCTCCTAGCGAAAAGCTTCGATCCCTAAGGGATGGCTTCGGCTCGCGAATATCCGTACGTATGCCGAGAAGGCACAAAGCTTTGTACCACTTCTGTGGTGGTAGTGCTTTAGTAAAGATGTCGGCGGCCTGTTCGTTGGTGTCGATGTATTGCACATTGATGCATGGGTCATCGAGACACTCTTTCAAGGATGAGAGGTTTATCTTGTGTGTACGGCCGATATGTCGAAGTTTCGGGGAGTACCCCTTACGAACGACTATGATGGTGGCTTGGTTGTCTTCGTGGATAACAAGATCCACCGGCCTCTGCAAGAGTTTCTCCCAGAGTTGGAGAGCAGGTATGCCCTCCTGATACAAAGAGTGTGCCAAACTTACCACCTCTGACTCCGTGGTGGAGCGTGAAGTGGACGTCTGCCTTTTCGAGATCCATGCAAGTGGGAAAAATGTGTTAGGACCTTTTAGTGTGAGGAAACCGCCCGAGGTTGACTTGACGTCGCCTGAATCGCCTCCAAAGTCTGCGTCGACGTATAGCTCAAGCCTGAGATCCTTGGGATCGTCTTGGCAAGATGCGGTTAATCTATAGTCTAGCGAATACTGGAGGTATTGGATTAGCCTTAGTAACTTCTTATCGTGTACTCTGGTCCAGGCTTGGACCTTAGTCGCTAAGTCGTTAATAGGCTTAAGGATGTCAGGTCTAGACAGGCGGGCCAACCAAAGGGCCTTCATTAGTATGGAACATGCTTTTGGGGCGAGTTCTCCGGGGGAGTCCTCGTCCTCCTTTGACCACGTTCCGTCAGGGATGAAGGGAGTTTGCGCAGGCTTGATTTTATCGACTTTAGCTACGCTTTTATAAAGGTCTATGGTTTGTTGGGCATAGTCCTTCATGTCGAAAATCAATGCATCTGGGGCCGCGCCTAAAGCAGCGTTCTCTTCACCCTGAACTTTATCGAAACTGGCGTAAACATGGTTTCTTCCGAGGATTCTATAAATGGTCTCGGGAGGCTCTACGTTTACTTCTGACATTAGTTGGTTCAAAAAGGAGCATGGTGCTCGGATGGTCCGGATAATGTCAAATCGTCTACGTACGTAGATAACATGAGACCTGTCCCTTTGAAATAGAAATTTCCGGGATACTCAGGAATCTCCTCGCCTTCCATTTTCTTTAAAATCCCCTTTAGGTGGTTTTCCCACATCCCGCCTGCATCGGGATGTCCGTATAATGCCCTCACTAGAAGTACAACTGGACGGGTGAATTTTCCTTTCCACCACTCCGGGCGGAGTTCAGGTGGAAGTTCAATCCACGTTTTATACTTACTTTTGAGAAAGGCTTGGACGTAAGCCTTCACGGCGTCCGCCGCCGTGCAGGCATGTCCCGGCAAGGAGCCGTAGGCTAGACAGGCGTTTAAGCCCTGTACGGATGTTGGGTTCGCGCCCAACTCTTCGTAGACGGCCGCGACGCCATTCTTGTCGCGTGCACAATCGCCGCGATATACTATTCGCCCCTTCATTTTGTGAAGGTGTTCTGCTAGTTCCCAAAATTTAATTGAGGCGATAGTCATTAAACGGCCAAAGTGTACGGACACTTTGCTAGCCTTTGCTTCAGCCTTGACTGCATCATATTCTTGAACCGAATCAAGATCCCAGGTACCGATGTCGGTGAGGGATGTTGCCTCTTCCTTAACTTTCTCAACGGCTTTAGGGTTCGCCAACATCTCTGCTCTGGAGAGCAACTTAGTTACCATGGCATGAACTCTACCGTGATGTTTAGGATCTTCAGGAATATCGAATGCAGTTCGAACGAGAGTTTCCAAATCCATCAGGCATTCTGCCATCTGGTTTGCAACTTCGTCGGTTTCGACGGCCAACGCAAATGTATCGGCTCCTGCAAGTGCGGAGATGTGTTTCAAGGATTGTTCTTTTACCCTATGTTCCTCTTCCCGCGCCTGGGAGGCAGCGGCTGGGACTACACGTGGCATGGCGGGGGCTGGAGCTAAGTTGACCTTTTGGGGATACAAAGCTCTGGCTATTTCACATACCATTTGTGGAGGGTAAAAGGCGGTCTTTGCAGTTTGTGACCCAACCGCGTGATCATGTTCATGTGGGGAATGCCTGCGCTTGTGCTGCGAAAAGGCATCTACGATGCTCTGGCTTGTCGTCATGAGCCTCCACGTCTTCTTGATAGGCCTGTCCTTAGTGGATCTAACTCCTACTGCACAACCGTCAAACTCAACTTGTTGGAATTGTGGGTGTGACTTAAAGAACGACTGGACATCATGACGGTTCCAACTCTCGCAGCCCTTTGGCCACTCAAAGGTAACAGTGCCCCCCCTGTTGAGGACGATCCCCGCGCTTCTCACAAACTCTGCGAAAAGTCGCTTGGGTTCACGAATCTGCTGCGCATGAGCACGGGCAAATCGCGCACCTCCTTTGGACCTGTTGACCCTTTGCCATGGGGAACCTGATGTACAGGGTATTGACGCCCACAGGTCTGGCACCTCTTCGCAGGTCTCCAAATGGTTATGGAGTTGATCCTGCATGTCGGTGTTGGTCAGGTCGAGGTGTTCCTTGCTTAGGGGTACATGTGGAATTCCCAACTCTAGAAATGTTTTATGCGTCTGAGAATCGGGGGCACACGCAAATTCGAACATGCAGCGGTTGAACTTGGGTGGTCTTTTCTTACCTCTACTTCTCTTCTTCTTAACTTGACCTATTTGTGAGGCTTCGGTCATTGCTGGCATTCCAAACACGGGCACACCACTTTCGGGTCTAGTTTGCACTAGTTGGGTCCTATATGTAGTGTGCGGGGTTATCGAAAGGCCGGCGATTACCGTCGGCGTGGCACTGGCGTCCTCTGGCGCCTCTGGCGGGGGGTCCGCCGGCGGTGGAGGAGGGGGATCTTCTGGGGCTACAGGAGGAATTTCTTCAACAGTGATTCCTTCCTTTCGCTTAGCCAAAAGGTCGGCCTTTTCCTCTTCAACAAGGCGTGCAAAACGTTTTCGGCATTCAGCAGTGTGATGACGAGTCTTACGCTCGCAAGCCCTGCAGCCAGGAGTTTCGCTGAATCGGATTACTCGATCTAGTGTTATGTACACACTTCGGGACTTAGGCCCAACGGGCGTCGGCGGCGCAGCGCCTTCGCCCTCTTCCCCAAAGGGAACCTCTTTCATGGGATAGTCAGGCATGTCTAATTTGGCAATGTCGTCCAAAATGCCTAACGAACCACCATGGAGATGCCTCAACTTCGTTGATGCCATGGGAAAAAAGGGCGGTCCTTCCTCTGTGTAGATTTCTGCCTCGGGCACATCTAACACATTGGGGTGTTTACTAACCTTAAAGCCCATGTAATCCATGATTCTGGCTACATAACGGTATCGGAAACCCGACTCGATGCGCCATCCCATGAAGAGACCCGGCGACATGTTTGGTTCGAGAGTCCTCTTGCCTACCTTACGATCTCGGTAATACACTAATTGACCAAAACATCTGCGGACGCCGTCAAACTTAGACCTAGTTAGGGCCTCCCATATTGTGTCTTTGCCGGGTCTGACATCGAAGGGCGATCGAACGACATCGACACGCAGGCGTCCGGAAACGAGTATGTGTGGAACTCATACGGCAACCCGGATTGCATATGCACTGCACGGCAACACTCTTTCTCCTCACGAATGTCTCGCTCTAGCGTGGCGTTATGGGGCCATCTATTGGGGAGTGAGACTTCGGGGAGCAAGCCTACTTCATGAGCGGCTTGTTCCAACTCGCCTGCTTCGTCCATTTTAATGAGGACACATGATGCTAGTTCGTTTGCTCTCAGCCCCAAGAAATGTCTAAAGTTCTTGGCATGGTTGCTAGCTGTCCTGTTTACCATGGGATAGGCTATTCCACCCGTCCCCTTACCAGCAAAATCATCGCCCTTGGCCATGATCACGTCATCGGTT